AGTAGAAGCAGTTTGAAACAGTGGAGAGCAGCAGTACAAGCGGTAGGCAAATCCAAATACCAGAGAACGCGGTATTGGTGAGTGTATGTGCAGGCGCCTAACAATTTAAAAAAAAAAAATAAAACTTAAAATTTTGTCAATTCCTTTAATGAGAGGTGAAGCCTCCATTAATTTTGTAAACTAACATAATTTAAGAAAATATTTTGTTGTACAAAGCAGTAGTACTTGCACAAACAATAATGGATTCGAAAACAATTATGTCATTGAAAGTAGAAGAGCTGCGGCAGCATTTAAAAGAGCTCAAACTTAGTACAGTGGGCAGAAATAGTGTGTTGCAGGTTAGATTGTTGGACCACTATGATTTGGAGGAGGTTGATTTAGATGTAGAGGAAGACAAATCAGAACAGGCAAGCGTGTATGAAGATGTACATAGCATTTCACGTTTTACATTGCGCGACGTGCAGGATAGCATTACAGCTTTTTCTGGCACAAGTCAGCCAAACGTAGAACAGTGGATTGCAGAATTTGAAGATGTAGCCATAACCGTGCGATGGGATGACCTCCAAAAGTTTATTTACGCCAAACAGCTATTGATTGGGGCAGCAAAATTGTTTACAAGAGGATTGACTGGAGTCCGCAGTTGGACACAATTGAAGGCAAATCTTAAATCTGAATTTGGCCAGAAATTGAGCTCAGCTGAGGTACACAGTTTGCTAAGGAAAAGACGAAAACTACCGAAAGAGACTTTGACCGAATATTTATACAGCCTGATTGAGATGGGGAAACAAATTCAACTCGATGATGAAAGCTTGATCTCTTACTTTGCCGATGGTGTGCCAGACACAAAATCCAACAAGGCAAGTCTTTATCGTTGCAAAACTATAAAAGATTTAAAAGAGGAAATCAAGCTCTACGATAAGATCGAGGGTGGAAACAAAGAAATTGTAATGAAAAAAGGACAGGGACAAAATACTAAGAGATGCTTTAAATGCAATAAAGAAGGTCATCAGGCAAGGGAATGCAAGGAACCATCAACATGCTATAATTGCAACAAGCCGGGCCACATCGCCAAAAATTGTTAAAAAAAAGTAAAAAAAAAAAGAGCAAGTTGCGTTTGCCGGATTAAAATCAGTGGGAAAAGACTTAACCTATAAACAGTTTGTCATCAAGGACATGCCGTTTTTAGCGATGGTCGATACTGGCTGCGATTTGTGTCTTATGAGAGAAGATTTAGTGGGAAGATTGGAAGGAGTGAATTTGGTGAAGGACAGTAAACAATTACGAGGCATAGGCAAGGGCGAATTAACTACTATAGGGTATTTCACAACTGATGTAGAGATCGAGGATTTATGTTTTGGTGTTACCTTTAATGTGGTTAAAGGGAACGTTTTGAACTACATTGCCATAATCGGGAAAGATGTTCTAAAGTCTTTTGACATAACATTCAGCGCAGAAGGGGTCAAGTTTAAAGGTAGAAATAAAGAATCTGCAAACGTGTTTAGTGGAATGTGTGTTGAGGAAATGTCACAGGAACGATTGGCATCAGACAGGGTCGATTTAAGTCACCTGAAGGAGGAACAGAAGCTTGTAGTAGAGGGGTTGATAAACAATTACTCTCCCCAAAAGGTCATTAAGTCACTAGTTAAAATGAAGATAGTTCTAGAAGATGACTTTCCAGTTTTTCACCACCCTCGCAGGACTTCGTATTTAAACAGAATGATTATTGAAAAACAAGTTCAGCAATGGTTAGATGAGGGAATCGTAGTACCAAGCTCTTCAGAATATGCTGCTCCAGTTGTGCTAGTGTCGAAAAAAGATGGGTCGAAGAGGTTCTGCTGCGACTATAGGAAGTTAAACTTAAAAATGAAAAAAGACAATTTTCCAATGGCGCTCATTGATGACGTGTTAGATCGCTTACAGGGTTCGAAAGTGTTTACCACACTAGATCTTACAAACGGATTTTTCCACGTACCCATAGAAAACGAATCCAGAAAATTTACAGCTTTTGTAACCCACAATGGCCAGTACGAGTTCACACACGTACCCTTTGGTATTACAAATTCACCAGCTGTATTCTGTCGATATATTAGCGCTGTACTTAGAGACCTGTTGCAAGCGAAGAAAATAATTATTTACATGGACGACATAATTATTCCATCAAGGGACGAGAATGAGGGTATAGAAATGCTAAAAGAGTTTTTGCAAGTCGCAGGTAGGGCCGGTTTACGTATAAAATGGGAAAAAGGACAGTATCTCAGAAAGAAAATTCAATTTTTGGGGTATGTTATTGAAAACGCAACCATTTCGCCAACACGGGACAAAATTGATGCGGTAGTAAATTTCCCAGTACCTAAAAGCAAAAATGCTCTTCAACGATTTTTGGGTCTTACGTCATATTTACGACGCTTCATTAAAAGCTATGCACTAGAGGCCAAGCCGCTAACATACATGCTTCGTAGAGACAATCCAAAAGGGAATAATATAAAAATTGAGTTAGATCAAAAGGGCCTCGTTGCTTTTGAATTCTTAAAGCATTTGCTTGTTTCAGCTCCACTATTAAAGTTATATAACCCGAGCGCAGTAACAGAAGTGCATACAGATGCAAGTAAGCATGGGTTTGGGGCTGTTTTGATGTAGATGGACTCAGAAGATCAACTCTTCCACCCGATAGAATTTATGAGCAAGAAAACAAATCCGTGTGAAGAAAAGTACAGTTCTTACGAATTGGAAATCTTGGCAGTTATAACAGCAATCAAAAAGTGGCGAATATACCTATTAGGCATAAAATTCAAAATTGTGACGGACTGCAATGCTTTTGCGATGACAGTTAAAAAAGACGATGTACCAGTGCGAGTTGCTAGATGGGCTATGTTTCTGCAAGAATTTGACTACCAAGTTGAACATAGATCGGGAAGCCAAATGAAGCACGTTGATGCATTAAGCAGATTGTCTTGTCTAATAATTAAAGAGTCAGTAAAGTATAGGTTGCGGGAAACACAAGAGGCAGACAATTGGATAAAGGCAGTCAAAAAAGTTTTGGAAAGCTCTAACAGCTATGAAGATTATTTTGTTTGAAACGGGATATTATACAAGGACCTTAACAAAGAGCTGCTGGTTGTCCCTGAGACCATGCAGGATGAAATTATAACTATTGCTCACCGCGAGGGCCATTTTGGCACAAAGAAGACTGTCGACTTGCTGAGTAAACAATATATTTTTTATAATATGCAAGAAAAAGTAGGCAAAGTGGTCCGTAGTTGTGTTGAATGTCTTATATCAAATGCAAAACGAGGCAAAAAAGAAGGACTTTTAGTACCTATTGACAAGGCCCAAGATCCATTGGGAACATATCATATAGATCACGTCGGTCCTCTCACGAGTACGAAAAAGAAATATATGCATATTTTAACAGTGGTAGACGCCTTTTCGAAATTTGTTTGGCTTTACCCCACTAAATCGACGGGAACAGATAAGCTCCAAAAACAGGCGTATATTTTTGGTAACCCGAAAAGAGTAGTTACTGATAGAGGCACAGCGTTTACATCAAATGTATTTAAACAATATTGTGAGAATGAGGACATCCAACTCCTACACATTACAACAGGTATGCCAAGGGGTAACGGACAGGTAGAACGCATTCATAGAATTGTCATTCCAATGTTGACCAAAATGTGTCAGCGCAATCCCTCGAATTGGTACTGTCATGTTGATCGCGTTCAACAAATTATAAACAGCACACCTCCACGAAGCACGAAATTCACTCCTTTTAAAATTCTTACAGGACTCGACATGAAAACTAAAAACAAAGACATAAGGGAAATTCTAGAAGAAGTGGACATGGACATTTTTAATGAAGAGCGAGAATTAGTAAGGATTAAAGCACAGGAGAACATTGAGAAGATACAACAAGAGAATAGAAAGGGATTTAACGAAAAAAGGAAAGTCGAAGAAACTTATAAAGTAGGGGAACTGGTAGCGATTAAAAGAACACAATATGGCACAGGCATGAAGTTAAGACCAAAGTTTCTTGGACCGTGTAAGATAACGAAGATAATGAAACATGGGCGCTATGAAGTTCAAAAAGTTGGCAATCAGGAGGGACCAAACTTAACAACAACAGCAGAGTTTGTAAAAAAATGGTGTTCGTTCGGGACGAACGAATTGTCAGGAAGGCCGAATGTAGGATGTGGGGAATAAGGCGGGAGTAGAATACCCTTTTAGCAACCCTGGTCTAACATGGCATCGGCGAGTATCGATAGGCTTAAGAATCGAACAGAAGAGGAGAATAAGACATTCGCTGGAGTGGAGTGGCTGAAGTCAGTTGTTTGAGAGTTGCGAGTCAGAGTGTAGACAGTGAGTGTTGTTGCCAAGGCCAGTTTAAAGTATTGTTCGCGGAAGTGCTGCGCATTTCTTTTATATTAACTATTCATTTAACTTTTAAAACTTATGTATACTAAAAGACATCCCAAATAAACTAATTTGTATTTCAAACCTACATGTATGTATATTTTACATTTATATTTTCATAATATATTGAACCTTTTCAAGATCACAACATATTTTTTTTAATAAAAAATATTCAACTCGTACTTTAATTTTACATACGCATATTTAAAAAAACAAAGCTGTACAATCCCATTCCATCCATTTATATTTTCATAATTTAGGAGTAAAATATGGCAAACGTTGGCAGTGTTAAAAATTCGAGTATAAATACTTGCACTCAAGTAATTATTATACGTATTGACCAAATTCAAAAGGGATAAAAAATACTTTCGAATTAAAAATATATAATACGCATTATATACATACAAGTAGTATATTCTACGGTTCATGACATGCTGCCCGACCAAATGCTAAGCCTTCATATTTATACTTTATTCAAATTCACGTTGTATGATGATGAATTAAAATCTCTTCTGAATTAAATTGGTCGTCCTGAAAAGGACGGTTGGTTTTATATACAGTATTGTTTTTATTTATTAAAGGTTGCCGCCAATTTAAGCCTTCTTTTCGGTCTTTTTAGGTAAAAGCACCGCCTGGATGTTAGGTAGAACACCACCCTGAGCAATGGTTACGCCCGAGAGGAGCTTGTTTAACTCCTCGTCATTACGAATAGCCAGTTGCAGGTGACGTGGAATTATGCGCGTCTTTTTATTATCGCGTGCTGCATTGCCAGCCAACTCCAGAACTTCAGCGGCTAAATATTCCATAACAGCAGCCAGGTAAACAGGAGCGCCGGCACCAACACGTTCAGCATAGTTACCCTTGCGAAGCAGGCGGTGGATACGGCCAACTGGGAATCGAACGCGACTTTGCCTTTCCCTTTACTTTACCACCTTTACCACGACCAGACATTTTCTATTTTTTTTTTTTTATTTCACAAATACACTTCTCACTGGCTCACACACAAATGTTGATGTCCGACCAAGTGTTAGGCCTTTATATTTATACTTTTTTAAGCATCATATACGCTCTGCTAAGGGTTGGACGGCTTCTTATAAGTTAAACCTGAAGGCGATGTTAAACAAAAATATACAAATATGTAGCAATTCAGTGGTAGAAAAATATTGCTAAAGCAACTGTGAAGTGTTGTGTTATTTTAACTCAAGTGAATTAAATTAATCTGAAGTGAAAAATGCCGCCAAAGACCAGTGGAAAGGCAGCGAAAAAGGCTGGTAAAGCCCAGAAAAATATAACCAAGAACGACAAGAAGAAGAAGCGCAAGAGGAAGGAGAGTTATGTCATCTACATATACAAAGTTCTGAAGCAGGTTCATCCTGATACAGGCATTTCATCGAAGGCAATGAGCATCATGAACAGTTTTGTGAATGACATTTTCGAGCGCATTGCTGCTGAAGCTTCCCGTTTGGCCCACTATAATAAACGATCGACAATAACGAGTCGCGAAATCCAAACGGCAGTCCGCCTACTTCTGCCCGGTGAATTGGCTAAGCACGCCGTAAGTGAAGGCACCAAAGCCGTTACCAAGTACACCAGCTCAAAGTAAATGTCTGATCGCCCGCTTCATAGCAGCAACAACATTCCAAAAGGCCCTTTTCAGGGCCATCAAATTTTTCATAAGCAGAGTTAATAATTTTCATACACTTCTTTTAAATAAAATTTACATGGCACCCCTTTACTGTGATAAAAAACAAAATCTATTATAATGGGCGAACATATATATTAATATAACTATTTTGGTCAATATTTATAAACAAACTATTTTTACAAATCATATCGTTCACCTATATGATATGCAGTTCTTATTGCTTGAAATCGACTGAAACAAAACAATTTTTAGTCACCCATTTTTATGAGAATCGTGGAGGAGGACCGGACCGTATACAATCCCATTGTACTTGCATCAGCTAAGTTTATCGTAATTTGCTTCGAAAAATGATTAAATTATTTATTAATTTTATTAATATACGTTTTTTTTTAACTTTTGTGCTCAAAGTGAAACATTTTTCAATTCTCATTATTTTTGTTACAAAATTAACTAACAAATTATGGTCTAAAACCATTTGTAACAGTTTTAAACAAAAATTGTTAAATTTTTCATACATATACTTGTACACCTAGAAGTAATAACAAATATATTAACAAAATTAGAAAAAGATAAGATTATTTGAAACCATTTAAATCACATTTGAAAATTATTTTTTCTCTTTCTTAGTTGTTTGTAGCCCTGAAAAGGGCTTTGTTTCAAATGAATTTTTATATTTGCATATACAAAATTTCACATATGCATTCATTTCTTGACTACTGCTGTCTTTGCCTTTTTGGCGGAAGCTGCAGCCTTTGGTTTTTTCGGTGCCGATGCTGTCTTCTTTGGCTTGGCACTAGTAGTAGTAGTTTTGGCCTTTGGAGTTTTTGGTTTTACAGCACTCGATTTAGGCTTCGATGTAGTTGATTTTGCCTTAACTGTACCACTTTTCTTTGCGTCTTTTGCCTTTGCCTTCTCCTTTGTCTTTTTCTCGGCAGTCTTTTTAGTGGCAGCAGATTTTTTAACTTTAGATTTCTTGTCACCGGCTGCAGAGGCCTTCTTGGCGACGCCGCTCGACTTCTTTTTAGCTGCTCCAGATGGTGCAACTTTTTTCTTATTTTTCTCGACGGAACTGACTTTTGGCTTTGGCTCTTTTTTAGCGGCCGCAGATAATTTAAACGAACCAGATGCGCCTTTGCCTTTTGTTTGGATGAGTTTTCCATTTGCAACAGCTGACTTCAAATATTTCTTAATGAACGGGGCCAATTTCTGGGCATCGCATTTATATGTGGCACTAATGTACTTTTTAATTGCCAAAAGTGATGACCCACCGCGCTCCTTCAAATTCTTGATTGACGCGTCGACCATTTGCTGGGTTGGCGGATGTGATGGTGGAGCTGTAGCTTTTTTCGATTTGGCGGCAGTTGCCTTCTTGACAGTGACCTTTTTCTCCGCTTGTGCAATGGCAATCGGAGAGGCGGCCGATGTAACAGCAACGATAGAATCAGACATTTCTTTTAACTTCACTTTCACACTTGTAAAATTATAAAACGGTTTGCTTTCAGAAATTTTACGAATTTTTAGTCACCCATTTTTATGAGAATCGTGGAGGAGGGCGGTATACAAATGAATGTGGCATTGGTCGTTCTCGACAGCTAAGTTTATGGCAATCTAAAAGGTAATTTGCTTCGAAAAATGATTAGATGTAAAAAAAATCATTTGAAATGCAATTTAATAATATCTATAAGCTTGACAGAGTTTAATAAACTTAAGTTTGTGTTGATACTTTTGTGAGTTCATTTTTAAATGGCACTCAAAGTGAAACATTATTCTTTAATGGTCAATAATTTTGCTTACAAAATGAATTTATTATAAGAAATTATGCTATAAAATCATTTGTAACGGGTTTTAAACAAAATTTAAACAATTTTGTATACAAATCTAAACGAATGATTTATTAAAATGCAAAAAAATATATTTATTGAATGCTTTCAAAGTAGCCCTACCTTGCATAAAACGACCATCAGAGTAGCATATAGCATTCAAACAAATTACCAAATATAGTTTAAGAATATAGTTTTAAAAGTCCTATTTATTTCAGCATTCATTCAAAAGAAGTTAAACTTGCTTTAATAATTTGTTAAGTATTTAAGATTTTATATTATCATTTCTGGACCCATTATAAGTTGTTAACGAATTTCCAAGGAGTCATAAAAAAATGGAGTTTGATAACTTACAAGTACTAACAAATGTATTAACAAAACTAGAAAGAGTTAGTTATTAAATAAATAATAAATTCCGAGTTTTAAACGTGTTTTGTTATGTTATAAGTAGTTTCGCATGTTTGTCTAAATAGCAGGAAAATCCATTGCTCTATTTAATTCAAGTGCTTTATTTTGTATTTTGAAAAATATAACAATATACAAGTATTTATTTAAGTAAAAAATTTATTAAATAAATAACAAATTTGACATTTTTTTGGGAAAATCATATTTTATTTATTTGTTTGAATACCAGTAATAACCATTAAATCTTATACTATATAACGTGTGTTTCGCATTCAGAAAAAACAATCGATTTTCTTGTCTAAATAGCAGGACAATCCATTGCTCTATTTAATACAAGTGGTTTATTTTGTATTTTGAAAAATATAACAATATACAAGTATTTATTTAAGTAAAAAGTTTATTAAATAAATAACAAATTTTGCATTTTTTTGGGAAAATCATATTTTATTTATTTGTTTGAATACCAGTAACAACCATTAAATCGTATATAACGTGTGTTCAGTATTCAGAAAAAACAATCGATTTTCTCAATGTATATTTCTTTTAATTGAGAAAATGATAATCGCAATAGCATGATTTAATTTACTTGATGAATGAAAAATACATATACAAGTATATGACTTCATATTTATATATTTGCATTGTTATGTGAAATGCCAGGCATTTGTGTAAATAATGGAATAAATGTAAATAATCATAATATAAAACGAAAAATGCTGTATACCAAGCAATAGTTAATCTCTTTGTTAGCTATTTGTGGTCCTGAAAAGGACCGATTATTGATTTTATAATTTGGAAAATGAAGCGCTGAAATTTCAACTTATGCACGTTCACCACGAATACGTCTGGCCAATTGAATGTCCTTGGGCATGATTGTAACACGCTTGGCATGAATTGCGCACAAATTTGTATCTTCAAAAAGACCAACCAGATAGGCTTCGCTAGCTTCCTGTAATGCCATTACCGCTGAACTTTGGAATCGCAAATCAGTTTTAAAGTCCTGAGCTATCTCACGAACCAAACGCTGGAATGGCAGTTTGCGAATCAATAGCTCAGTGCTTTTCTGGTAGCGGCGGATCTCACGAAGTGCAACTGTACCGGGGCGATAACGATGTGGCTTTTTTACACCACCGGTGGCTGGTGCACTTTTACGAGCAGCTTTGGTAGCCAGCTGCTTGCGAGGCGCTTTGCCACCGGTCGATTTTCGGGCAGTTTGCTTGGTGCGAGCCATTATACAAGTATTTATTCCGTACTAATCTACTACACTGTATACACTGTCACTGATGAAAACACAATATTCGTATTGCTTGCTTTGCGCCTTCTTTATATAGAAATTTGGCCGCACAATGCGATTGGTGGTTGTTTGAACGAGATGTGCGAAAGAGAGATAGGAAGATTATCCGACTCGCTCGTGTTTTCGTGTTTTTTTTTTGTATAAATACGAGCGTATGTGGCCGCAACAAAGCAAAGTATTGCGTGATAACATTCAGGGTATCACAAAGCCAGCTATCCGTCGTTTGGCTCGACGTGGCGGTGTAAAACGCATCTCTGGCTTAATTTATGAAGAGACCCGTGGTGTGCTCAAGGTGTTTTTGGAGAATGTTATTCGTGATGCTGTCACCTATACGGAACATGCCAAAAGGAAAACAGTCACAGCTATGGATGTTGTATATGCATTAAAAAGACAAGGCCGCACCCTTTACGGTTTCGGCGGTTAAGAAGTTACATTTGCCCAAATGTGCAAATAAAGAAAACAATCGGTCCTTTTCAGGACCACAACATATATTTTTAAAAGAGAAAAATATTCAAATCATACTTTTATTTTACAAAAAGCTGTACAATCGATACTCTTCATTTATATTTTCATAATATATTGAACCTTTTCAGGACCACAACATATTTTTTTAAAAGAGAAAAATATTCAACTCATACTTTTATTTTACATACGCATATTTAAAAAAACAAACATATTGTACAGCTTACATTCCATCCATTTATATTTTCATAATTTAGGAGTAAAATATGGCAAACGTTGGCAGTGTTAAAAATTCGAGTATAAATACTTGCACTCAAGTAATTATTATACGTATTGACCAAATTCAAAAGGGATAAAAAATACTTTCGAATTAAAAATATATAATACGCATTATATACATACAAGTAGTATATTCTACGGTTCATGACATGCTGCCCGACCAAATGCTAAGCCTTCATATTTATACTTTATTCAAATTCACGTTGTATGATGATGAATTAAAATCTCTTCTGAATTAAATTGGTCGTCCTGAAAAGGACGGTTGGTTTTATATACAGTATTGTTTTTATTTATTAAAGGTTGCCGCCAATTTAAGCCTTCTTTTCGGTCTTTTTAGGTAAAAGCACCGCCTGGATGTTAGGTAGAACACCACCCTGAGCAATGGTTACGCCCGAGAGGAGCTTGTTTAACTCCTCGTCATTACGAATAGCCAGTTGCAGGTGACGTGGAATTATGCGCGTCTTTTTATTATCGCGTGCTGCATTGCCAGCCAACTCCAGAACTTCAGCGGCTAAATATTCCATAACAGCAGCCAGGTAAACAGGAGCGCCGGCACCAACACGTTCAGCATAGTTACCCTTGCGAAGCAGGCGGTGGATACGGCCAACTGGGAATTGAAGGCCAGCTCGATTCGAACGCGACTTTGCCTTTCCCTTTACTTTACCACCTTTACCACGACCAGACATTTTCTATTTTTTTTTTTTTATTTCACAAATACACTTCTCACTGGCTCACTGGCTCACACACAAATGTTGATGTCCGACCAAGTGTTAGGCCTTTATATTTATACTTTTTTAAGCATCATATACGCTCTGCTAAGGGTTGGACGGCTTCTTATAAGTTAAACCTGAAGGCGATGTTAAACAAAAATATACAAATATGTAGCAATTCAGTGGTAGAAAAATATTGCTAAAGCAACTGTGAAGTGTTGTGTTATTTTAACTCAAGTGAATTAAATTAATCTGAAGTGAAAAATGCCGCCAAAGACCAGTGGAAAGGCAGCGAAAAAGGCTGGTAAAGCCCAGAAAAATATAACCAAGAACGACAAGAAGAAGAAGCGCAAGAGGAAGGAGAGTTATGCCATCTACATATACAAAGTTCTGAAGCAGGTTCATCCTGATACAGGCATTTCATCGAAGGCAATGAGCATCATGAACAGTTTTGTGAATGACATTTTCGAGCGCATTGCTGCTGAAGCTTCCCGTTTGGCCCACTATAATAAACGATCGACAATAACGAGTCGCGAAATCCAAACGGCAGTCCGCCTACTTCTGCCCGGTGAATTGGCTAAGCACGCCGTAAGTGAAGGCACCAAAGCCGTTACCAAGTACACCAGCTCAAAGTAAATGTCTGATCGCCCGCTTCATAGCAGCAACAACGTTCCAAAAGGCCCTTTTCAGGGCCATCAAATTTTTCATAAGCAGAGTTAATAATTTTCATACATTTCTTTTAAATAAAATTTACATGGCACCCCTTTACTGTGATAAAAAACAAAATCTATTATAATGGGCGAACATATATATTAATATAACTATTTTGGTCAATATTTATAAACAAACTATTTTTACAAATCATATCGTTCACCTATATGATATGCAGTTCTTATTGCTTGAAATCGACTGAAACAAAACAATTTTTAGTCACCCATTTTTATGAGAATCGTGGAGGAGGACCGGACCGTATACAATTCCATTGTACTTGCATCAGCTAAGTTTATCGTAATTTGCTTCGAAAAATGATTAAATTATTTATTAATTTTATTAATATACGTTTTTTTTTAAACTTTTGTGCTCAAAGTGAAACATTTTTCAATTCTCATTATTTTTGTTACAAAATTAACTAACAAATTATGGTCTAAAACCATTTGTAACAGTTTTAAACAAAAATTGTTAAATTTTTCATACATATACTTGTACACCTAGAAGTAATAACAAATATATTAACAAAATTAGAAAAAGATAAGATTATTTGAAACCATTTAAATCACATTTGAAAATTATTTTTTCTCTTTCTTAGTTGTTTGTAGCCCTGAAAAGGGCTTTGTTTCAAATGAATTTTTATATTTGCATATACAAAATTTCACATATGCATTCATTTCTTGACTACTGCTGTCTTTGCCTTTTTGGCGGAAGCTGCAGCCTTTGGTTTTTTCGGTGCCGATGCTGTCTTCTTTGGCTTGGCACTAGTAGTAGTAGTTTTGGCCTTTGGAGTTTTTGGTTTTACAGCACTCGATTTAGGCTTCGATGTAGTTGATTTTGCCTTAACTGTACCACTTTTCTTTGCGTCTTTTGCCTTTGCCTTCTCCTTTGTCTTTTTCTCGGCAGTCTTTTTAGTGGCAGCAGATTTTTTAACTTTAGATTTCTTGTCACCGGCTGCAGAGGCCTTCTTGGCGACGCCGCTCGACTTCTTTTTAGCTGCTCCAGATGGTGCAACTTTTTTCTTATTTTTCTCGACGGAACTGACTTTTGGCTTTGGCTCTTTTTTAGCGGCCGCAGATAATTTAAACGAACCAGATGCGCCTTTGCCTTTTGTTTGGATGAGTTTTCCATTTGCAACAGCTGACTTCAAATATTTCTTAATGAACGGGGCCAATTTCTGGGCATCGCATTTATATGTGGCACTAATGTACTTTTTAATTGCCAAAAGTGATGACCCACCGCGCTCCTTCAAATTCTTGATTGACGCGTCGACCATTTGCTGGGTTGGCGGATGTGATGGTGGAGCTGTAGCTTTTTTCGATTTGGCGGCAGTTGCCTTCTTGACAGTGACCTTTTTCTCCGCTTGTGCAATGGCAATCGGAGAGGCGGCCGATGTAACAGCAACGATAGAATCAGACATTTCTTTTAACTTCACTTTCACACTTGTAAAATTATAAAACGGTTTGCTTTCAGAAATTTTACGAATTTTTAGTCACCCATTTTTATGAGAATCGTGGAGGAGGGCGGTATACAAATGAATGTGGCATTGGTCGTTCTCGACAGCTAAGTTTATGGCAATCTAAAAGGTAATTTGCTTCGAAAAATGATTAGATGTAAAAAAAATCATTTGAAATGCAATTTAATAATATCTATAAGCTTGACAGAGTTTAATAAACTTAAGTTTGTGTTGATACTTTTGTGAGTTCATTTTTAAATGGCACTCAAAGTGAAACATTATTCTTTAATGGTCAATAATTTTGCTTACAAAATGAATTTATTATAAGAAATTATGCTATAAAATCATTTGTAACGGGTTTTAAACAAAATTTAAACAATTTTGTATACAAATCTAAACGAATGATTTATTAAAATGCAAAAAAATATATTTATTGAATGCTTTCAAAGTAGCCCTACCTTGCATAAAACGACCATCGGAGTAGCATATAGCATTCAAACAAATTACCAAATATAGTTTAAGAATATAGTTTTAAAAGTCCAATTTATTTTAGCATTCATTCAAAAGAAGTTAAACTTGCTTTAATAATTTGTTAAGTATTTAAGATTTTATATTATCATTTCTGGACCCATTATAAGTTGTTAACGAATTTCCAAGGAGTCATAAAAAAATGGAGTTTGATAACTTACAAGTACTAACAAATGTATTAACAAAACTAGAAAGAGTTAGTTATTAAATAAATAATAAATTCCGAGTTTTAAACGTGTTTTGTTATGTTATAAGTAGTTTCGCATGTTTGTCTAAATAGCAGGAAAATCCATTGCTCTATTTAATTCAAGTGCTTTATTTTGTATTTTGAAAAATATAACAATATACAAGTATTATTTAAGTAAAAAATTTATTAAATAAATAACAAATTTGACATTTTTTTGGGAAAATCATATTTTATTTATTTGTTTGAATACCAGTAATAACCATTAAATCTTATACTATATAACGTGTGTTTCGCATTCAGAAAAAACAATCGATTTTCTTGTCTAAATAGCAGGACAATCCATTGCTCTATTTAATACAAGTGGTTTATTTTGTATTTTGAAAAATATAACAATATACAAGTATTTATTTAAGTAAAAAATTTATTAAATAAATAACAAATTTTACATTTTTTTGGGAAAATCATATTTTATTTATTTGTTTGAATACCAGTAACAACCATTAAATCGTATATAACGTGTGTTCAGTATTCAGAAAAAACAATCGATTTTCTCAATGTATATTTCTTTTAATTGAGAAAATGATAATCGCAATAGCATGATTTAATTTACTTGATGAATGAAAAATACATATACAAGTATATGACTTCATATTTATATATTTGCATTGTTATGTGAAATGCCAGGCATTTGTGTAAATAATGGAATAAATGTAAATAATCATAATATAAAACGAAAAATGCTGTATACCAAGCAATAGTTAATCTCTTTGTTAGCTATTTGTGGTCCTGAAAAGGACCGATTATTGATTTTATAATTTGGAAAATGAAGCGCTGAAATTTCAACTTATGCACGTTCACCACGAATACGTCTGGCCAATTGAATGTCCTTGGGCATGATTGTAACACGCTTGGCATGAATTGCGCACAAATTTGTATCTTCAAAAAGACCAACCAGATAGGCTTCGCTAGCTTCCTGTAATGCCATTACCGCTGAACTTTGGAATCGCAAATCAGTTTTAAAGTCCTGAGCTATCTCACGAACCAAACGCTGGAATGGCAGTTTGCGAATCAATAGCTCAGTGCTTTTCTGGTAGCGGCGGATCTCACGAAGTGCAACTGTACCGGGGCGATAACGATGTGGCTTTTTTACACCACCGGTGGCTGGTGCACTTTTACGAGCAGCTTTGGTAGCCAGCTGCTTGCGAGGCGCTTTGCCACCGGTCGATTTTCGGGCAGTTTGCTTGGTGCGAGCCATTATACAAGTATTTATTCCGTACTAATCTACTACACTGTATACACTGTCACTGATGAAAACACAATATTCGTATTGCTTGCTTTGCGCCTTCTTTATATAGAAATTTGGCCGCACAATGCGATTGGTGGTTGTTTGAACGAGATGTGCGAAAGAGAGATAGGAAGATTATCCGACTCGCTCGTGTTTTCGTGTTATTTTTGTATAAATACGAGCGTATGTGGCCGCAACAGCGTTAGTTTCGTTGTGAATTTTGTGCAGTTAAAGTGAATTAGTGAGAAATGACTGGTCGTGGTAAAGGTGGCAAAGGCTTGGGCAAGGGTGGCGCAAAACGTCATCGCAAAGTATTGCGTGATAACATTCAGGGTATCACAAAGCCAGCTATCCGTCGTTTGGCTCGACGTGGCGGTGTAAAACGCATCTCTGGCTTAATTTATGAAGAGACCCGTGGTGTGCTCAAGGTGTTTTTGGAGAATGTTATTCGTGATGCTGTCACCTATACGGAACATGCCAAAAGGAAAACAGTCACAGCTATGGATGTTGTATATGCATTAAAAAGACAAGGCCGCACCCTTTACGGTTTCGGCGGTTAAGAAGTTACATTTGCCCAAATGTGCAAATAAAGAAAACAATCGGTCCTTTTCAGGACCACAACATATATTTTTAAAAGAGAAAAATATTCAAATCATACTTTTATTTTACAAAAAGCTGTACAATCGATACTCTTCATTTATATTTTCATAATATATTGAACCTTTTCAGGACCACAACATATTTTTTTAAAAGAGAAAAATATTCAACTCATACTTTTATTTTACATACGCATATTTAAAAAAACAAACATATTGTACAGCTTACATTCCATCCATTTATATTTTCATAATTTAGGAGTAAAATATGGCAAACGTTGGCAGTGTTAAAAATTCGAGTATAAATACTTGCACTCAAGTAATTATTATACGTATTGACCAAATTCAAAAGGGATAAAAAATACTTTCGAATTAAAAATATATAATACGCATTATATACATACAAGTAGTATATTCTACGGTTCATGACATGCTGCCCGACCAAATGCTAAGCCTTCATATTTATACTTTATTCAAATTCACGTTGTATGATGATGAATTAAAATCTCTTCTGAATTAAATTGGTCGTCCTGAAAAGGACGGTTGGTTTTATATACAGTATTGTTTTTATTTATTAAAGGTTGCCGCCAATTTAAGCCTTCTTTTCGGTCTTTTTAGGTAAAAGCACCGCCTGGATGTTAGGTAGAACACCACCCTGAGCAATGGTTACGCCCGAGAGGAGCTTGTTTAACTCCTCGTCATTACGAATAGCCAGTTGCAGGTGACGTGGAATTATGCGCGTCTTTTTATTATCGCGTGCTGCATTGCCAGCCAACTCCAGAACTTCAGCGGCTAAATATTCCATAACAGCAGCCAGGTAAACAGGAGCGCCGGCACCAACACGTTCAGCATAGTTACCCTTGCGAAGCAGGCGGTGGATACGGCCAACTGGGAATTGAAGGCCAGCTCGATTCGAACGCGACTTTGCCTTTCCCTTTACTTTACCACCTTTACCACGACCAGACATTTTCTATTTTTTTTTTTTTTATTTCACAAATACACTTCTCACTGGCTCACTGGCTCACACACAAATGTTGATGTCCGACCAAGTGTTAGGCCTTTATATTTATACTTTTTTAAGCATCATATACGCTCTGCTAAGGGTTGGACGGCTTCTTATAAGTTAAACCTGAAGGCGATGTTAAACAAAAATATACAAATATGTAGCAATTCAGTGGTAGAAAAATATTGCTAAAGCAACTGTGAAGTGTTGTGTTATTTTAACTCAAGTGAATTAAATTAATCTGAAGTGAAAAATGCCGCCAAAGACCAGTGGAAAGGCAGCGAAAAAGGCTGGTAAAGCCCAGAAAAATATAACCAAGAACGACAAGAAGAAGAAGCGCAAGAGGAAGGAGAGTTATGCCATCTACATATACAAAGTTCTGAAGCAGGTTCATCCTGATACAGGCATTTCATCGAAGGCAATGAGCATCATGAACAGTTTTGTGAATGACATTTTCGAGCGCATTGCTGCTGAAGCTTCCCGTTTGGCCCACTATAATAAACGATCGACAATAACGAGTCGCGAAATCCAAACGGCAGTCCGCCTACTTCTGCCCGGTGAATTGGCTAAGCACGCCGTAAGTGAAGGCACCAAAGCCGTTACCAAGTACACCAGCTCAAAGTAAATGTCTGATCGCCCGCTTCATAGCAGCAACAACGTTCCAAAAGGCCCTTTTCAGGGCCATCAAATTTTTCATAAGCAGAGTTAATAATTTTCATACATTTCTTTTAAATAAAATTTACATGGCACCCCTTTACTGTGATAAAAAACAAAATCTATTATAATGGGCGAACATATATATTAATATAACTATTTTGGTCAATATTTATAAACAAACTATTTTTACAAATCATATCGTTCACCTATATGATATGCAGTTCTTATTGCTTGAAATCGACTGAAACAAAACAATTTTTAGTCACCCATTTTTATGAGAATCGTGGAGGAGGACCGGACCGTATACAATTCCATTGTATTTGCATCAGCTAAGTTTATCGTAATTTGCTTCGAAAAATGATTAAATTATTTATTAATTTTATTAATATACGTTTTTTTTAAACTTTTGTGCTCAAAGTGAAACATTTTTCAATTCTCATTATTTTTGTTACAAAATTAACTAACAAATTATGGTCTAAAACCATTTGTAACAGTTTTAAACAAAAATTGTTAAATTTTTCATACATATACTTGTACACCTAGAAGTAATAACAAATATATTAACAAAATTAGAAAAAGATAAGATTATTTGAAACCATTTAAATCACATTTGAAAATTATTTTTTCTCTTTCTTAGTTGTTTGTAGCCCTGAAAAGGGCTTTGTTTCAAATGAATTTTTATATTTGCATATACAAAATTTCACATATGCATTCATTTCTTGACTACTGCTGTCTTTGCCTTTTTGGCGGAAGCTGCAGCCTTTGGTTTTTTCGGTGCCGATGCTGTCTTCTTTGGCTTGGCACTAGTAGTAGTAGTTTTGGCCTTTGGAGTTTTTGGTTTTACAGCACTCGATTTAGGCTTCGATGTAGTTGATTTTGCCTTAACTGTACCACTTTTCTTTGCGTCTTTTGCCTTTGCCTTCTCCTTTGTCTTTTTCTCGGCAGTCTTTTTAGTGGCAAGCAGATTTTTTAACTTTAGATTTCTTGTCACCGGCTGCAGAGGCCTTCTTGGCGACGCCGCTCGACTTCTTTTTAGCTGCTCCAGATGGTGCAACTTTTTTCTTACTTTTCTCGACGGAACTGACTTTTGGCTTTGGCTCTTTTTTAGCGGCCGCAGATAATTTAAACGAACCAGATGCGCCTTTGCCTTTTGTTTGGATGAGTTTTCCATTTGCAACAGCTGACTTCAAATATTTCTTAATGAACGGGGCCAATTTCTGGGCATCGCATTTATATGTGGCACTAATGTACTTTTTAATTGCCAAAAGTGATGACCCACCGCGCTCCTTCAAATTCTTGATTGACGCGTCGACCATTTGCTGGGTTGGCGGATGTGATGGTGGAGCTGTAGCTTTTTTCGATTTGGCGGCAGTTGCCTTCTTGACAGTGACCTTTTTCTCCGCTTGTGCAATGGCAATCGGAGAGGCGGCCGATGTAACAGCTAACGATAGAATCAGACATTTCTTTTAACTTCACTTTCACACTTGTAAAATTATAAAACGGTTTGCTTTCAGAAATTTTACGAATTTTTAGTCACCCATTTTTATGAGAATCGTGGAGGAGGGCGGTATACAAATGAATGTGGCATTGGTCGTTCTCGACAGCTAAGTTTATGGCAATCTAAAAGGTAATTTGCTTCGAAAAATGATTAGATGTAAAAAAAATCATTTGAAATGCAATTTAATAATATCTATAAGCTTGACAGAGTTTAATAAACTTAAGTTTGTGTTGATACTTTTGTGAGTTCATTTTTAAATGGCACTCAAAGTGAAACATTATTCTTTAATGGTCAATAATTTTGCTTACAAAATGAATTTATTATAAGAAATTATGCTATAAAATCATTTGTAACGGGTTTTAAACAAAATTTAAACAATTTTGTATACAAATCTAAACGAATGATTTATTAAAATGCAAAAAAATATATTTATTGAATGCTTTCAAAGTAGCCCTACCTTGCATAAAACGACCATCGGAGTAGCATATAGCATTCAAACAAATTACCAAATATAGTTTAAGAATATAGTTTTAAAAGTCCAATTTATTTTAGCATTCATTCAAAAGAAGTTAAACTTGCTTTAATAATTTGTTAAGTATTTAAGATTTTATATTATCATTTCTGGACCCATTATAAGTTGTTAACGAATTTCCAAGGAGTCATAAAAAAATGGAGTTTGATAACTTACAAGTACTAACAAATGTATTAACAAAACTAGAAAGAGTTAGTTATTAAATAAATAATAAATTCCGAGTTTTAAACGTGTTTTGTTATGTTATAAGTAGTTTCGCATGTTTGTCTAAATAGCAGGAAAATCCATTGCTCTATTTAATTCAAGTGCTTTATTTTGTATTTTGAAAAATATAACAATATACAAGTATATATTTAAGTAAAAAATTTATTAAATAAATAACAAATTGACATTTTTTTGGGAAAATCATATTTATTTATTTGTTTGAATACCAGTAATAACCATTAAATCTTATACTATATAACGTGTGTTTCGCATTCAGAAAAAACAATCGATTTTCTTGTCTAAATAGCAGGACAATCCATTGCTCTATTTAATACAAGTGGTTTATTTTGTATTTTGAAAAATATAACAATATACAAGTATTTATTTAAGTAAAAAATGTATTAAATAAATAACAAATTTTACATTTTTTTGGGAAAATCTTATTTTATTTATTTGTTTGAATACCAGTAACAACCATTAAATCGTATATAACGTGTGTTTAGTATTCAGAAAAAACAATCGATTTTCTCAATGTATATTTCTTTTAATTGAGAAAATGATAATCGCAATAGCATGATTTAATTTACTTGATGAATGAAAAATACATATACAAGTATATGACTTCATATTTATATATTTGCATTGTTATGTGAAATGCCAGGCATTTGTGTAAATAATGGAATAAATGTAAATAATCATAATATAAAACGAAAAATGCTGTATACCAAGCAATAGTTAATCTCTTTGTTAGCTATTTGTGGTCCTGAAAAGGACCGATTATTGATTTTATAATTTGGAAAATGAAGCGCTGAAATTTCAACTTATGCACGTTCACCACGAATACGTCTGGCCAATTGAATGTCCTTGGGCATGATTGTAACACGCTTGGCATGAATTGCGCACAAATTTGTATCTTCAAAAAGACCAACCAGATAGGCTTCGCTAGCTTCCTGTAATGCCATTACCGCTGAACTTTGGAATCGCAAATCAGTTTTAAAGTCCTGAGCTATCTCACGAACCAAACGCTGGAATGGCAGTTTGCGAATCAATAGCTCAGTGCTTTTCTGGTA